GAGGGGCAGAGAACAGAGAAGAGAGCCAACGAGAAGACAGCTGCCAGCCTGAATCTGACTTGGTTTCTCCTCATCCCATCAGCTCAGCAGCTCCTCTCCTCTTCAGGAAGGCCTGTGACCCCAAGGGATGACACCAGATGTCTCTGACAGCCAGAGAGTGTCACCACCAGCTTCTGCATGGCAAAACCATCCCTTGTCACCCCAGCAAGACCAGGACTCCCAGTGCTCAGTGCTGCAGGAGCACAACAAAGAGAAGGCAGGAACCAGAGATGCCCTGCTGTGATGGAGAGGAGCTGCAGAAGGGATGAAGGGCTGGGAGCAGCAGCCATCAGCTCCTGTCCCTGAGCCCCAGAGCTGTGCAGGCAGTGCCCATCCTCTGTCCCTGAGCCCCAGACCGTGCAGGCAGTGCCCATCCTCTGTCCCTGAGCAGCACAGCTGTGCAGGCAGTGCCCATCCTCTGTCCCTGGGCAGCACAGCTGTGCAGGCAGTGCCCATCCTCTGTCCCTGAGCCCCAGAGCGTTCAGGCAGTGCCCATCCTCTGTCCCTGAGCCCCAGACCGTGCAGGCAGTGCCCATCCTCTGTCCCTGGGCAGCACAGCCGTGCAGGCAGTGCCCATCCTCTGTCCCTGAGCCCCAGAGCGTTCAGGCAGTGCCCATCCTCTGTCCCTGAGCCCCAGACCGTGCAGGCAGTGCCCATCCTCTGTCCCTGGGCAGCACAGCCGTGCAGGCAGTGCCCATCCTCTGTCCCTGGGCAGCACAGCCGTGCAGGCAGTGCCCATCCTCTGTCCCTGGGCAGCACAGCCATGCAGGCAGTGCCCATCCTCTGTCCCTGAGCCCCAGAGCGTTCAGGCAGTGCCCATCCTCTGTCCCTGAGCCCCAGAGCCATGCAGGCAGTGCCCATCCTCTGTCCAGCCAGCCCAAGGGCACACAATGGCTCTGTCCCCGCCGTGCCTGAGCGGAGCCAATGGGCACGGGAGGCAGAGGGAGAAACGCTCGATGTGCTGCATGGGAGGAGGGGAGGGGAGAGGAGAGGAGGGGGAGGCGCAGACAAAGAACAGGGAGATGGAGAGAGAAAAGCAGGCAGGGAGCAGAAGGTGAAGCAGGGAGGATGGGGCTGGGGTGTGTGCAGCCCCTCACAGCGAGGAGCAGCAGCCAGCCCCTCACAGGGCCTGCAGGAGCGGCAAGCCAGCCCAGCCAAATGAAAATCTCTTAACCACACTGAATTGTTAACTGCCCCCAAATCCTTTTGTGCTGGGGCTGCGAGCTTAGAAGAGCTTAAGCTGTTAGATGCATGAACTTCCTCCATAAATATCCCTTGTGCACACTGCCGCGAGCAGGCTGCCGTGTTATTAGCCAGATGAAAAACCCAGCAGAGAAAATGAGCAACTCCTTCCAGCTGCACACAGCGGTTGTCCATTCCTTAGATGCCCTTCTCCACCTGGACCCTTTGGTGGAGGAGGACCTGGCCCCCCATGCTCCCTGCCACGTCCTGTTTGGGCGCCTGAGTGTGTGAGAGAACTTCACCCCCAAAGCCAGCTCAGATTTGCTATTGTTTTGCTTCTGGAAAGGGGCCCAGAGTCCCTCCCACCCCTGGAAACACGAGCAAACCTGCCAGCCACATGTAGGAGTGAGTCCCCCAAGCCAGGCGGCTCTGCCGCTGCCTCTGCAGGGAGCGGGGCAGGGACCCGGTGGGAGGAGGGCAGGGATGCAGGGACACATCCCAAAGGGACACATCCTGCAGGGACATATCCTGCAGGGACACATCCCAAAGGGACACAGACCGCGGGGACACATCCCAAAGGGACACAGACCACAGGGACACATCCCAAAGGGACACATCCCAAAGGGACACATCCCAAAGGGACACAGACCACAGGGACACATCCCAAAGGGACACATCCCAAAGGGACACATCCCGCAGGGACACATCCTGCGGGGACACATCCCAAAGGGACACAGACCACAGGGACACATCCCAAAGGGACACATCCCAAAGGGACACAGACCACAGGGACACATCCTGCGGGGACACATCCCAAAGGGACACAGACCACAGGGATACATCCTGCAGGGACATATCCTGCAGGGACACATCCCACAGGGACACATCCCAAAGGGACACAGACCACAGGGACACATCCTGCAGGGACATATCCTGCAGGGACACATCCCACAGGGACACAGACCACAGGGACACATCCTGCAGGTCCTTCCCGAGCAGAGTGGGGATGTAGGGACACATCCTGCAGGGACACATCCTGCAGGTCCTTGCCAAGCAGAGCAGGGATGCAGGGACACATCCCGCAGGGACACATCCCACAGGGACACATCCCCCAAGGACACATCCCCCAAGGACACATCCCGCAGGGACACATCCCGCAGGGACACATCCCACAGGGACACATCCCGCAGGTCCTTCCTGAGCAGAGCAGGGATGCAGGGACACATCCCACAGGGACACATCCCACAGGTCCTTCCCAAGCAGAGCTGGGTGAGCAGCCCCTTCCCAGCCCTTTGTGCGGCTCACTGGGAGGGCTGGGAGAGGACAGAGATTCCATGGCTGTCCTGCCAACTCTGTGTCTGGCTCTCCTCCCAGTCCCCACTCCTCTTCTGGGGGCTGCCAGGGAAAAATGGAGGGGCACAATCCCAGGGTGCCATCCAGCCCTGATTGCACCCCACGTGAGAAGAGGAAGGGAAAGAAGGAATGGGGAAGGCAAAGGCAAAGACTGAAGGGAAAGGGAAAGAAAAGAAGAGGGGGAGAAAGGAATAGGAAGGGGAAGGAAAGGGAAAGAGGAAGGTGAAGAGGGAGGGGAAGGGGAAACGGAAGGGGAAGGGAAATGGGAAGAAGAAGGGGAAAGGTAAGGAGAATGGAAAGGAAAGGAGAAAGGAGAAAAGAGAAAGGAGAAAGGAGAAAGGAGAAAGGAGAAAGGAGAAAGGAGAAAGGAGAAAGGAGAAAGGAGAAAGGAGAAAGGAGAAAGGAGAAAGGAGAAAGGAGAAAGGAGAAAGGAGAAAGGAGAAAGGGAAGGAAGGGGAAGGGGAAGGGGAAGGGGAAGGGGAAGGGGAAGGGGAAGGGGAAGGGGAAGGGGAAGGGGAAGGGGAAGGGGAAGGGGAAGGGGAAGGGGAAGGGGAAGGGGAAGGGGAGGCAGCCCCGAGCCAGCTGCCCCATGGAGACGATGGGCTGGCGGCCACCGCGTGATTAATGAGGGCGGGGAGCGCGGGGCCGGCGCTCGCCAGCACCGGCTGCAGGAACAGCTGCCGAGGTACCGGACCTCCCAAAATCCTGCTGCTGCTGCTGCGGCTGCTGCTGCCCAGACAAAGAGGGGACCGGCCTCTCCCTCCCTCCCGCTCCCCGCCTCGGCCCCCGCTCCTGCCGGCTCTGCTCCCCCAGCCCAGCGGGACAGGGCTCTGCAGGAGCGGTCCCGGCAGCCCCTCCCGGGCCATGCGCCGGGGCTGCCCCTCGGCTGGGCTCGCAGTGGCACCGGGGGCTCCCCAAGAAACCCCGGCTGCATCAGAGCAAAGCACTGTGCGGGGCTGGCTCTGCTCCGGGAACAAACAGGCTGAAACGGAAAAGCTGCCATGAATCACTGGGGCTCTCTGGTGTTGCTACGAATGCTTCACTTGGGAGTTGTAAAAGCCCCGTCTGCCCTTCGAGGCAGGGATCAGCCGGGCTCAGTTTCCAGCAGTGCTTCCTTGCTGCCCCCATCCCCATCCCTGCTAAGGCTGTAAGACACTTGATCTGCCCGAGCTCGGTGGGAAGAGGCGTTCAGTGGCTAAGCATGGAGTAGCTGAAATAATGGATATTAAATGATCCCCACAGCACATCAGGACCTGATTTTTGGTGCATGAGCAGCCCAGCCACTAGCAGCAGACATGGAGCCCTCTCCAAGGGGATGATACAGCCTGCAGTCCCTACTGAGCACAATCAGATTGTCCATTCCCCTCTCCAGTGTGTCTGTCTCCCACTACCAGCACCCTCCCCTTGCTTTGGTTCTACCTGGCCAACCCTTCAGAGCCAGAAGAGAGGAGACACAGCTCCTCCCTTGGCTCTGCAGTGGCCACCAACGTGTCTGTAATGGATCTCAGAAGCCCTGGCTCTGCTTGGAGTGTGCCAATGCTATCGGAACTGCAGAGGGATTTGGAGGTTCAGCCAGGACAGGGGAAAAAGATCCTGTTTGCCAAACTCTGTGGTTTGCTCCGTCCATGGCACAGCTGCAGGTGCCCACCACACAGCTCTGGGGTCCCCACCTTCTTCTGAGCAACCCCAGGAGCTCCTTTCTGAACCTTCCCGAGCCCATGTATGACTGGACGGGGGCACAGACATCAGCTCAGGGAGGGGAGTGCTGAGCCTCTTGCTGGCCTGGGACCAGGCTGGCTCCATGGTGCCCAGCTGAGCTCAGCAGACACTCACAGAGTCTGCTCTGAACATCTATGTGGGAGGAGAACATCTAGAGAGGCAGAACATTTATAGGGCAGGAAACCTCTGGCTGTTGAGGAGTACAGGGGCCAGGTATCTCTGAAGAGGCCATGACCATGTCCTGCCCTGGGCCATTTGCACCTCACCAGGAAAACACTGTAGACAACTTGCTCCCTCCCACTGCACCCTTTTGGGACCCTGCCTTCCCACTCCCCTCATCCAAGAAGAGATTCAGCCCATGCCAAAGCACACAGCAAAACCAAGAGCATAACAGCCCCAATATTTTGGGAAGCAACTGCAGATTGGTGACATGCACCACACGTGTGTGCCTCCAAAACCTGGAGAGCATGGATGGCACCAGCAACCGGCGCCAGCCCTGAACCCAGTGACTCTGGGGACCCGGAGGTCATGGACAACCTCTGCAATGGACGGATGAGCCTGGGGCAGGAAGTGAGCAGCTGGGGAAGGAGTCAGCCTCCACACGAGCCCCTCAGCCACCCCTGCCCAAGGAGGTCCCTCCCAGACGGTTCATGCAGATCCCAGACGCAAATCCCGAGTGCCCCCAGCAGAGGAGAGCCCGTGGTTACCTCTGCAGACGGTCCCGTTCTCCACGGACTCGTAGCCAGCCCGGCACATGCAGCGGCCGATGGGCACCAGCCACTCGCCGTCACCGTTGCAGTACAGCTTGATGGGCACGTCCACCTCCTCAGCATTGGCAATGCACGTGCCCCTGGCTGCCACCAGCGAGGTGCTCTCTGCTCCCGACAGGGTTTCTTGGAAGACAGCCCCGTTCTGGATCACACGGGGACATTTGCGGTAGAAGACACGGACGGCAATCAGGGACATGCAGCCCCCATAGTCCTGGAAGGCCAGGTAGAAACCATTCTTGGAGACGGGCCCAAAACTGCGCACCTCAGTGTTGATCTTCATCACCCGTCCACCTAAGTCCACCTGTGAGAAGCTCTCGTCAGCAGCGATCGTGTCCACCTTCATCCAAGGATTCTCCATCCAATTAGGAAAAGTCTTGGTGGCCGAGTCCAAGTCTGACTCGAAATAGTACAGGTTAAAAGTCTCCTTACAGGAGCCTGGGACATTTGGGATGCTGCTGCAGTCCCGGACAGAGAATTTCATCTCCACGTGGATGCGGTGTGCTCCTCGCCTGCGGATGTACTTGGTGCGGAGCCAGTTGTTCTGGCTGGACTCAAAGACGTTGCACACCTGGTAGGTGCGGATGGTGTTCATGTTCTCATCGTACCCACTCACCTCTTCCCACTGTGGGAAGGACACACACAGTCAGGGGCTGCTCTGAAGGGGTGCTCCCCACCCTGCTCACCTCTTCTCATCCCCACAATGTGCCATGTAGGCTCTGCCAGCCCCAGCTGCCCCTCTCTGTGCCCACCCCATCCCACAGGCTGTCCCAGAGTGCCCAGCACCTCCTCCCAGCACCCCCTGCAGGTGCCCTGTACCTGCCTGGGCAGGGTTTGACCCACACTGTGCCCCAGGCAGGCTCCACACTGTGCAGACAAAGGGGTCCCTCAGGCCACCTTGCTGGCACTAGCACCATGCTCCATGCCTAGATTCAGGGTCAAGCCTCTCTGCTGCTGGAGGGACAGCAAGGCCACTACTCTGCAGAAATGGTTTTAGTAGGGACTGTGCCCATGGCTGCACTGCACTGCTGTGCCTCTGGCAAAGGAACACAGTGCCTTTAGCACAGGGATTGCCACCAGTGCCACTGGTTACAGACATGGCAACAGGACCTGCTTCCTCATAAGCCATGAAACCTCCTGCCTGGCTGCAGCCAGGGCCTCTTCCCAGGGGCAGGATGGGACCATGGCCAATCCTGCTGTGTTCCCAAAAAGGGAGGTGCTGGGTAAGTCTCACTGGAGCCCTCATCCCTGCCCCTTTGACAGTCAAATGCTTTGGGGCTCCTCCAGCAGGTGCTCAGGTCCCAACCCCAGCTGTCCTGAACTGGATCTATGGGATGCAGACATGCCTATGAGCTGTGCCATGACAGCAACATCCTTCTCAGCAAGACAGCTCAGAGCTGACAGATTTCCCCATGGGAAGCTCTGCCCAGCTCTCCCCAGCTGACTGACTCTGTCAGCTCTGGAGGAAGCTCCATGGAGTTACAGAGAACATCCTGAGCTGGAAAGGACCCACAAGGATCATCAAGTCAACCTCATGGCCCTGTACAGTCATCCCAACAATCCCACCCTGTGCTTGAGAGTGGTGTCCAAACATTCCTGGAGCTCTGGCAGCCTTGAGGCTGTGTCCATTCCCTGGGCAGTGGCCAGCACCCTCTGGGGGAAGAACCTTTTCCTAACATCCAGTCTAAACCCCCTTGACAGAGCTCCAGCTGTCCCCTTGGGTCCCCACAGAGCTCAGGGCTGCTGTGATATCATCTGGCCTTCTCCAGCTCTCTGCCCTTTTCCCAGGCTGTTTTTCCCAAAATCCTCCAGTGCTTGTTGTCTCCATTCTGTGTAGGATGGGGACATTTCAGAGGGGGATGCAGGGCATGAGCTGCAGCCTGTAACTGGCCACTGCTCCTCTGTAGGGAGCACCAACAGGGAAAGATCTTTGTGGGAGGAGAACCCTCAGCTCACAGAGCATCTCCTCCTGCTCAGCCCCTGCCAGAGTGCAGAGCATCTCCCTGCAGTCCCATCCCCACCCAGGGCACCTGTGTAATGCTGGCAACAGGGACCAGAATCCTGCTGGCGTGTGACACAGTCCCAGCCAGCTGGAACTGCTCCTTCTGAATTTCTTCAGAAAACTGTTCAAGTGGAAGCCGAGCTGTTTCCCATGGATGTTACACCCCAAGCAAAACCCTGCCCTGGATGCAGGATCACAACACCCAGCATAGCCCAGATCCAGCACCAGTGCCAGGACCAAACCCAGGGAAAATCCTGCAGGAGCAGAGCACTCCCAGCCCCTCAGGTTGTAAATGGCCTCACAAGGGCACCCAGGACTGGGGAAAGAGGCTCAGGAGATGGGAGACAGATTGCTCCTAGCACATCAAGGCTCACAGCCCAACAGAAGGCTGTCAGGGAAGATCCCCAACAGCTCCAACCACTTCAGATTGGCAGTAGCTGTAAATCTGCTGCCAGGGCTGGGGGACAAGAAGAGCATCATCGCAAAACACAGCCGGAGCATTTGCTTTGTTTTCCAGAAATAAATTTGGTGTGTTAGTGGAAAATTGCAGGATCTCCCTGCTTTTCAGGGCACTGGTTGGGAGGGGAGTGAGGGAATCAAGGACAAAGCATGTGGAAGCAATTCCTTCCCTTGCCCTGCCTCTGATGTGGCTCTCCCTCACCTGGACCACTCCAGACCCCCACCTTGGCAGCTAGCAAGACCAAGGGACCCCCCACACACACCTGCCCCAGCCCCCAGGAAGGGTAAGGACACGAGCCCAGAAAGCTCAGCCTTGGTCAGGCAGGAGCAGCACATGGTGGAATGAGAGTCTCCAGGGCTTGGGATGAACAGGAGATGGAGGGACAGCTTGAGGACCTATATGAATGGCACAAGAGTTTCAGAGCCAGACATAAAGCAACTGTTTGGGCTTTGGGGTCTGTAATAATCCCCAAAAAGGAGCACAGGGCAGCTTCTGTCTTCCAGGTGATGCTGGCTGCATCCAACCTGGCCAGCCACCTCTGAGTGGGATGCACTGCATTGTCCTGCCCTTGGAAATGAGGCCATGAAGGCATCGCAGAATTGTCACCCCTGATGAACACAGAGCAGGACATGATGTGCCCATATCCCCCCTCAGGGCCCTGCTCAGAGGTGGAGACAGGAGGCAATCCCACCAACCACTGGGACTGCATGGCATTGTCCAGATGGGCATCTCCACCCTGATGGGGGTCCTGGGAGCACCCTGGGGGCCAGGCTCAGGATCCCCAGCATCCTCCCACATCCCTGCCACAGCAAGTGGCTGGCTCCAGACTTCCCTTTTCCCAGATGGGAGAGAAAGTCATCCCCGTGCACCAGCCCCTGCGCTTCCTCGACGCTTAATTAGAAGCCTCTCCCTTTCTCTTGGCTCTCTAATTAACATGCCGGGAGCTCAAAGGAAGGCAGCAGCACAATAACCCAGGGAGAGGCTTCCAGCAGGCCCCGGCCTCATTACGGCCAGGCTGGGGAGCGGGAGCAGGGCGTGCTTCACATATGGAAACACTGCAAACAAGAAAGGCTGGGCCACGAGAGAAAGAGACTTGACCTCTTCTCCCCTGCATTGTGTGCCCGTCATCCCCCTCGGCGGGCACTGGCGGGGCCGGGCAGCTCTGCCCTTTCTCATGGTGATGGGCAGCGCCCGTGCCTGGCGCGGCACCGCGGCCACGCTGCACGGCTCGGTTTAATCTCCCAGACAAGGCTTTTCTGGGCTCTTTCTTTTCTTCTGCCAAGTCGGCTCAGACTGGGGGCATGCTGTCAGCCTGGGGGTGAGGGCCACAGAAACGTCTTCATCCAGCCCCTGCAGAGGGTGGATGGAAGGCAGGATGGAGCTGAGCCACCGCTGCCATGCACGGGCGTGGAAGCATCTCCAGGCTTTGACCAGGCTGGATTGGGCCATCCAAATGCAAGGGAGCAGGTCTGGGGGGTTGGACACTGTGGCTGCTGCTGGTTACCACAGCCAGAGGTGGGCAGGATGCTCTGAAGCACCTTGATGCCCCACGTGGGACACAGAGGGGGCTGCACTCTGGTTTTCTCCCATGAGCGGAAGGGTGCAGAAATCACAGAGTCACAGAATGTTCTGAGGTGGAAGGGACCCACAGGAATCATTGAGTCCAACTCCTGGCCCTGTACAGACACCCCAACAACCCCACCCTGTGCATCCTTGGGAGCGTTGTCCAAATGCTCCTGGAGCTCTGGCAGCCTCGGGGCTCTGCCCATTCCCTGGGAGCCTGGGCAGTGCCTGCACCCTCTGGGGGATGAACCTGATGCACTGCCTTGCCCAAGCTCTTCTTTAAAGGAGTTTCTTCAGGGTGATCTTTGAACATGTTTCAGGATACACCTGGCCCTGGTAAAGAAGACAGGTAGTTCTGCTGAGCCAGCAAACATCTCTCTGTGGGATGCCAGTCCTTTCAGGACCTGAGCCTAATGCCCTCATCCTGCTACAGGTGACAGGCAATGGAATAACAACTGAGACACTGGGGACAAATGATGGTGGCCTTGGCATATTGTTTCTTCCTCTCCTCATTTTTAGGTGGCTGCATGCCAGCTCTATGGAGACTGTGATTCCTCTAGCACCACACTGTGTGACTCTGTGGGGTGGGAACTACATCCCACCAACACCGGGGTATTTTTTGGAGTATCATCTCCTAGAAAACTATTGGAAACCTCAACTGTGCTCTTTCCACATGGCCAAGGCACTTTGCAACAGTGCCTGACTTTTCCTGGGCCAAGCCTGACACATTCACATGCCGAAGAGACCCCAGAGCAGCTGCAGGTCCCGTCAGGTGATGCCTTACCCCTGAGGGAGGATGCACCGTCCAGCCCAGCTCTGCTGTCGCCGTGGTGGAGTCCATCAGTGTCTCTGTGGAAGGAAGGGGAAACAAGGAGTCACTGGTTGCTGATGAAAGGACTGAAGATGGAGACAGGGAAAAAGGTGGAGAGGAGCTAGCCCAGGGCTGCAGGGCTGGAGCCCATCCCACACTGAGCCTTTTGACCACATCTCAGCCAGGGGACCCAGGCACTGGTCCCTCCACCCAACTGCTCCCCACCCACTGCCCACTGCTCCCTGGCCCCCATGCAGAATATGGAATCAAAAAATGTTAAGTTTGGAACTGACCTCCGAGATCATCAAGTGCAACCATCATCCCAGCACCAAACAATGTTCATCATTAAATCATGTGTTCATCATTAAACCATCATTAAACCACTTGTGAACCACTTGTTCACAGGTGCCACATCCACACGTGTTTTTTAACATCTCCAGGGATGGTGATTTCACCACTGCCCTGGGCCAATGCCCAGCCATCCTTCCCATGAGGAAACTTTCCCTAATATCCAATCTAACCCTCCCCTGGCCCAGCCTGAGGCTGTGTCCTCTTGTTCTGTCCCTGTTCCCTGGGAGCACAGCCCAACCCTCCCCCAGCTGTCCCCTCCTCGCAGGAGCTGTGCAGAGCCACAAGGTCCCCCCTGAGCCTCCTTTGCTCCAGGCTGAGCCCCTTTCTCAGCTCCTTCAGCCCCTCCTGGAGCTCCAGACCCTTTCCCAGCTCCATCCCCTCCTATGAAAATGCTCCAGTCCCTCAATGTCATAATTTTCATTAAGGGCCCAAAACTGACCCCAGGATTTGAGGTGGGACCTCAAGGTGCCCAGCACAGGCAATGTCTCCTGCTGTGAGTGAGGACTCTGCCATCCATCAGCCAAGCTGGATTTTCCTCCTCTCAATCCTAAATCCAAGTATCCTCAGCCCAGTTCTACTGCAGCATATGAGGAGCAGCCTGAGCAGGGATCCTCCATCACCTTCTAGTTTCCTTTGCCAAAAGCAGGATTTTTTTTTCTCAGCACTTTGCATAGTAGGGAGAATCCTCTGAGATGCAGTAGGATGTGGGGAGGAACAGCACTTTTAGGACTTAAAAGTACTAAAAAATTAAACCACTGTTAAAGCTGGTTTTCCAGATGATTTGGGCTGAAATAGGTCAGGTGATGCTACCACCGACCAGCACAGACAAGTCCTGCTCAGCCTTTCCTGAGCTACAGGAAGGCCTCCTCACCCTTCCTGCAGCTCATGATGCTTCCCACACTGGAGTTCTTTTCATCCCAAATAGCTGTACATTGGTTTAACTCCACTGATGGCACAAGGAGGGCTGCTCAGGTGATGGTACCCAATATCTGGGCCAACATGAGCAGCTGAACGTGCCAGCCAGCCCCATCAGAAATAAATGGGACAGACTCTTGGAATCGTGGTTCAAAAAGCCAGCTAACATTGAGTCCCACCATTACTGCAGCACTGCCATGTTCTGCACTAAACCATGTCTCTAATAACCACATCTACTCACTTCTTTAACACTTCCCAGGGAGTGCTCAAAAGTCTTTTTTGGACACTTCCATGAGTGGCTTGCAGAGTCTGGGTAACTCTCTGCTCCTCCAGGTCTGCAGCCACATGCTCATGGCAATACAGGGATTTTTCTGCACCACACCCAGGGCTGACAGTTTAAGAAAATAGGACAATATTCCTGAGTTTAGGAAATGCAGTTTAGAAATGCTGCCCAAAGGCCTCAGAACACCGAGGCTGGACATGAGGGGAGTGTGGAGGGACACACTGCACAGGGCAGCACATGGCCAGTGATTCTGTGCTGAGATCATGGTCATGCTCAGAGGGGAAATTCTGTCCCTCTGTTCTGCAGGGACAATGTGAATCCCCTGATTTCAGCACATGCCCTGGGGATGCCAAGTGCACTTGCAGGGATGCTGGGAAGTGTGCATCCCATACACACTAAGAGTCCCAGAATTGTTGGGGTTGGGAGGGACCTTCAAGACCATCCAGTCCCACGCTCCTGCCATGGGCAGGGACACCTCCCACTATCCCAGGTTGCTACAAGCCCCGTCCAACCTGGCTTTGGACACTGCCAAGGGTGGTCCCAGAATGGAATGGAGAGTTACTGGGTGTAACCATGTCCTTCTGCTGTGCTTCTCCCCACCAGAAAAACAAGCACACTGCCACAAACCCCTCAAGAACATCTCCACCTTCTCCACTTTCACTCCATTGAACAAAAACAAAGGAAGAAAAGCTCAGCCTTGAGCAGATCCATCACTGAAGAGCCAGGCCTGGATGCAGAGGTGACAACTGCTCCATGCATGTGACCTCCTGCTCCCCACTGGCACCCCAAAAAGTGCCTGGGCAGCACTGTGCTCCTGCACCTACTCCTGGCAGTAAATCCTCCTTAGACTGTGGCTTGTTCATTACTCCTGGTTCCAGCCAGCGGTTTCCAGTTCACAGGAAACCAGGATTTCGAAATTTGGTTTTATTCCAAGAGTAAAAAGCAAAAAGTACTTCTTTTCAATTTTTCCCACTAAGAAGAGTTCTGGAAAACAGCTAATCCCGAAATGTTGTGGGTCAGATTTACAAAATTTCTTTTTAAACTGAGTATTTGTTTACATAGGCCAATAATGGTGTTTACTTTATCAGAGGATCTTGCTTTTTCATTAAAACACCAGTGGCGTTTGATCTGAAATGAAAACAACATTTTTCACACAGTGCTAGCAAGAAGCTTTAAAAACCCCCTGAATTTGTTACTTTATCTTAACTATCAATGACAGTGGTGCATAGTAAGTACATTAATAGCAGTGACTAAAATGGAAAACAAGATATATTCTAAGTCATTACAAATAATTCCCCAAATAAAGTTCATATTTTGAAGCATTTTGCATTTTTAAAAACCTTTTATTTAATGAAAACTCAGTGCAGTGGAAATGTTGTGCTCAGTACACCACTGCTCCCACCCCCTTATCCTCAGCTGAAGGATCTCCTTGGAGCTCTGCATCCACTCTGGCTGGCCCAGAGAGAAGGAGGAGAAGAAATTTGCAGGTTTTAAGCAAGTTTTTCCAACGGCAAATTATCTTCCCATAAAAAACACCAGATATTCCATTAATTTTAGTCTGGATTTACACCATTTAGCTGCCAGCTATTGGATTTCCTTTTCCTTCTACAAAGACTCTGCAGTCCAAAATCCTTCTCTCTTGTGGTGCTCACGGGTGGCAAATGATCCATCTCCAAGACAACTAAATTAGCTCAGCTTCCTTCTTCTTCCTCCCTAAACCTGGTTCCTGTTTGAGGTTCCTGTTTATCACCCTTCACAGTGCAGGGGGTCCCAGGGCTGTGGTCCCCATCACACACAGCTGTAACGCTCCAATGTGCCCCTTCTGGGGCAGTTTTTGCACCAAGCTGCTGCCCAGGCTGAAATCTTTTTGGAGATGGGGTTACACTGAGCAGAGAGCACCTGAATTATAGAAAATTGGGAATAGCTGGTCCCCATGAAGCACAGTGACCCTGCAGGGTCAGCACAAGGGGATGTGAATCAGAACCTTGAAACCACAGAATGCTTTTGGGAGGGACCTTAAAACTCATCCAGCTGCATGGGCAGGGGCACCTTCCACTGTCCCAGGCTGCTCCAGGCCCTGTCCAATCTAGACTTATAGAATCATAGAATAGGCTGAGCTGGAAGGGACCCACAAGGATCATGGAATCCAACTCCTGGCCTTGTACAGGGAACCCCAACTCCCCCAGCCTGTGCCTCAGAGTGCTGTCAAAACACTCCTTGAACTCAGACAGGCTTGTGACCACTGCCCTGGGGAGCCTGTTCAGTGCTCAACCAACCTATGGTTGAAAAACCTTCCTCTAATATACAACCTAAACCTCCTCTGACTTAGCTCCAGATGTTTCCTCAAGTCCTATCACTGCTCACCAGAGTGAAGAGATTGGTACCTGCTTCTCTGCTGCCCTTCAGGAGGATGTTGAAGAGCACAATGAGGTCTCTTCCAGTCTCCTCCAGGCTGAACAGACCAAGTGACCTCAGCATCTCCTCATATGGCTTTCCCTCCAGACTCTTCCCCATCCTCATGGCCTCCTTTGGATTGGATGCTGTCTAACTGCTTCATGTCTTTTTAATATTGTGGTGTCCAAATCTGCTCCAGCACTCAAGGTGAGGCTGCCCCACTGCAGAGCACAGCAGGACAATCCCCTCCCTTGCCTGGCTGGCCATGCTCTCCCTGATGTCCCCCAGGACACGGGTGGCCCTCCTGGCTGCCAGGGCACTGCTGACTCAGATCCAGCTGGCCATTGACCAGGATCCCAGGTCCCTTCCTGCAGCTGCTCTCCAGCCTCTTGTTGCCTGGTCCACCCACACATCCAGGGTTGCCCCATCCTCAGTAAGGAATCTGGCACTTTCTCTTGTTGAACTTCACATGGTTGGTGATGGCCCAGTCCTCTGTTTTGTTGAGGTCTCTCTGCAGGGCCTCCCTGCCTTTGAGGGAGGCAACAGCTCTTCCCAGTTTTGTATCTTCTGTGAACTTGCCTCATATTCCTTCCAGTCCTGTGTCCAAGTCATTGGATGCTGAAGAGCGCAGGGCAATGACAAAGCCCTGCAGTGACAGGTCACCAGTCTGATGTCACCCCAGTCACTGTCACCCATTGTGCCTGACTCCCAGTTTCTCACCCATCACGTGATGTGTTTATCTAGCTGGGGGCTGGACAGGTTGTCCAGAAGGATCCTGTGAGAGACAGTATCAAAAGCTTTGCTGAAATAAAAAAAGATTCCATCTCTTGACTTCTCTTGATCAACCAGGTGGGTTTACCCAGTGAGAGAAGGAAATCAGGTTTGATAAGCAGGGCTTTCCCTCATGAAGCTGTGCTGGCTGTGACCAATGACTACATTGTCCCCCAGGTGTTTTTCAATACTTCTCAGAATAATGCTCTCCCTTGATTTTACCAGGCAATGAAGTGAAACTGCCAGGCCTGTAGTTTCTAGGGTCCTCCTTCTTGCCCTTCTTGAAAATTAGGACAATGTTTGCTGACTTCCAGTCAGCTGGGA